AAGAGTTTTCTGATGAAAGCATTCACTCAGAAAGTGTCCTATTTCTGTTCAGAGCACCTCAGGCACTCTTACCTGTCAAAATGATAAACTAATTTATTGCCTTCTAAGGACACAAATTTGAGCAAACTGAAATTGTTCTTTCAAGTACTCATATTACAGTTGTAGGTTTGTCAGTAATATTAAATTGACCTAGAGGCTTTCTCCCTCCACAGGGAGTCCTTATTGGAGTTTTTAAAAACAGCAGTTTTATTCCTGAATGGGGAACACACTGGAAGGAGTTAACACCGTTCATTTCCAAAGTGCTATACAACCATAATACTAGATTCATAGTATCTCTACAGATTGGCTTGTTATTCTTGTAAGCACCGTCAAAATTTATACAAAAAGAACCTCAAGGGTGATTTTTTAAGGTAAGAAAACAGAACTAAAGATAACCCAATAGTTCCATAGTTAGTCCAATACACCATGGTGGATTTTACCTTTTTTTTTTTTGTTGGCAAAAGGACTGGCTCATTCGCTTCTGAAACATTTGGCAGAAGTGGGGGAGGGGATCACTTCTCTCATTTCTCTAGTAACTCTAGATATGTTGCTGTGACTGTTTGGGAGAAGGCTGAGTATTAAATATTTGGTACTCCATTTACTTTGAAATCATTTCAAAATTTACCCTTCTCAGATGTCAGGTGAGAAATTTTGCAAAATTAATACATTTAAGAACTATTACTTTAGGAACAGCTGTAAGAAAAGTCAATTTGTGAAATGGAAATTGTCACCAATATGAATAGCAATTATAAATACTTAACATATGTCCTTGGAAAGATAGAGGGTTGAGAAGGGTGGGTGACAGGCAGTCTTCTAATAATCCCCATGAAAAACTTTGATTTTTGTTAAGCTTGTTAGGGAATTAGCAAGGGATAATAAGAAAACCATGTATTTACTGAGTGCCTCCAATATTCGGGGCATTTTACGAAATATTTTATGTAATTACATAAGTTGATATTTGGATTATATGTAAGATAAGGTAACAAACACTGAGAAGTTATGCAACAGAAAGGGTTAGTCTTTGCAACTAGACATATACATCTGTGTCCCCAGTGAAAGACAACTCTAGAATTAAGTAGAAAGGGAAAGGAAAAGGGCTGAATTCTTTCCAGGGCTGGGCAATAGGATATGAATATTCTAAGAGCCTGTTTTATTGCTGGTTCACAAACAAAATTTTAGGTGTTCCAAAGAAAGAGTTAGAATTAAACCGTGTTCAAAATCTGGCCGACGGCTAATTATTGGGAGAGTCTGATTTGTGGGATGTGGCTGGGTAAATTGTGATGCCTCTACATCAGGTCTCTGTCCGCCATGTACATGTAAGTATAAGATCCACACTTGTACTGGGATCACATGGTTCCCTGGTTGCACAGGTAGGAGAGGAGCAGTAGGTCAGGAGTGTAATGTGTGGGCCTCAAAGGCTTCATTTACAGCTGTTTATCAACATTAAGATGGGACTCCTTAGCTCCTGACACTTAAACCAAGGAAGATATTTTGGTTCCTCTGTCTAGATTTCATCCAGTGGGGCAATCTATAAAGATGCTTTTTTCTTTCTGTCTCGATCTTTGGTTCTGTCTTGGTACCTGAACGTGCCACAGAACTCAGCTCTGGCTGGTGCTGCCATGGTTACTTTCGATTCTCAGTTGCTGGAGTGGTGTGCTTGGCCCTGCCTCCATTTGTGCTCCCCCACTAGTGTATGCTGATCACCTTCACCTCTCCTTGCCCCATGACCTCCACATTTCCAGTCTGAAGACCTCTGGAGTGGGTTTTGTTTGATTTTGTTTCTTTATGAATAGCTCCTTGCTGCCCCCTTCTGGCTTAAATTGTAATTAAGCCTTTGGTTTGCTGATCCAGGGGTGAGAGTCAGACCTGGGCAGTGGGAACTCAGTCAGTCCTTACAGTGGCTACTTGGAAGGCAGAAAAGATAATTCTCCTCTGTTCTCATTATTTTTTCTTATGTTTTTTCACTATTCATTTATCAATAAGTATTTGTGGAGCTTCTGAAATCGCTGATTACATACACTTTCATCATAGATCCATGAGAACTCTTTTATTTTGGTTTATGTTCATATAAAGTGTTTTGTATCTTAAAAACTTGGAAGACACTGAGCAGCAGCAGCAGAGAGAGATAGCACAGCCTATAATTTAACTATGATAAATAATGACCCATGGAGTTAATTGTACCTGTTATTTGTATGATTGTGTAGAGACAGGCTCGTAGCCTGTTCTTTGTCTCAGTGATATATCATTAGCTATTTTATTCCTTTTAAATATTGACAGAGTCTCCTGGGGAAGGGGATCATATTGCCAACTCTGTTGGGGTCTCAAATCATTATAAGATTATAGGCTTCTGCCTGGCAGACTTTGGCCATGTGAACAAAAGATTCTTCTGTATTCTCCCCACACTCTGGAATACTGGGCTTTTTATGCCGTGATGCTCAATAAATGTGGTTGACTGGCTCTTCTGAGTTCATGATGTGTTTTCCAAAATGGCAATAAAAATGGTAATGAAATGTTAAGTTATTCTCAGCTACTAAATTCTTAGTATCAGAGACCTCATAAATTGTCTTTTTGATGATCAAAACTATTTGACCGTAAATTTCAGCTAAGTCACAATAACCGCTGCATCTCTCTCCAGTCCCCTTTATCCCATATGTTTCCAAAGTATCTGTATGATGACTGAATTACTACAAATGATTGAAGCATAAGAGAAAAATACAGCATCTGTTTAGGTAGTGTGGGGAAGTATGCACATTTTGTAGACTTACCTCACTATACGGGGCATTTCGGGGAGCGTTTTACCCCAGATGCCCTTATGGTCAATAATTTGTCTGTCCACCTTGCTTCTTCCCTGATGGTGAAGGCAATGAATTCATGCCTACAGTCTTTTAGAAAGCAATGAATAGGCTCAAAAGCAAAGCCACATACCAGTGGAGTGCTCAAAATCACCACCTCTGATACTATAGTTCTTGCTAATGCTTTTAACTTATGGAAGCTAGTAAAGTTAGTGGTCTCAAGTCCAATAATACCTCAAAGCCCAAGGGAGAATCTGGACAGGTCTGTTTTTAGCTACAGCAGGGATTAACCACTATGTGAGAGGAAGCTCTTCATTCTTGGTGGTTAAAAACAAGAAACAAAATGTTAAAAAAAAAAAAGAAAAGGAAAGAAAGGAAGCCTGGATTGAAGGAAATAACTTACAAACTTGTCACATTGAAAGGGCAGAAGACTCACACATGGTTAATAAAAAACAAGTAGATTGCCTTTATTTTTTTTTACAGGTCTTCTGGGTTAAAAGCCACATTGGGCAGAAAGTAGAGTTTCCATATGCCCTCTTTCATCACATGCACACAAATTTCCTTGCTATCCACATATGCACCTAAGTGCTATGCTCATTAAATTGATGAGGGCCCATCATCACCTAAGTCTATAATTTTTGTTAGGAATCACTCTTTCTGTTTTTTGTTTTGTTTTCTTTTCTGTTTTTTTGGTACCAGGTTTTAAACCCAGGAATACTTCACCACTGAATCTTCACTACATCCCCAGACCTTTATAATTTTGGGGGCGAGCGTGGGGGCGACAAAGTCTCCTTAAGTTGCTTAAAGTCTTGCTAAATTGTTGAGGCTTCCTTTGAACTTGTGGTCCTCCTGCCTCAGCCTCCTGAGCTGCTGGTATTTCAGGCGTGTGCCACCGCACCCAGCCTCATTCTATGGGTATAAACATATACTGACATGTAACATACCACCATTGCAGTATCATACAGAATAGTTTCGCTGCCCTAAAAATCCTCTGTTTTTTCCTGTTCATCTCTGCTTCCCTAATCCCTGACAACCACTAATCTTTTTACTGTTTCCACAGTTTCACCTTTTCCAGAATGTCATATAGTGGAGTCATACTATATGTAGCTATTCAGGATTGACTTTTTTTTCGCTTAGCAACCAACATTTAAGATTCCTCCATGTCTTTTCAGTTTGGACAGTGGCTTTTTTTTTCCTTTTAGTGCTGACTAGTATTCCATTGTCTGGATGTATCAAGGCTTATTTATCCACTCACCAACTGAAGTACATTTCGGTTACTTCTAAGTTTAAATAATTGTGGGTAAAATTGCTATGAATATTCATACTTTTTCCCCCATAGACATAAGTTTTAATTCATTTGGGTACAAATCAAGGAGTGTGGTTGCTGATTCATGTGATAAGAATATTTTTAGTTTTGAGAAACTCTCTTGCAAAGTATTTGTACCATTTTACATTTCTGCCAGACACGTACAGGCAGTATTGCTTCTCCACATCCTCACTAACACTGGATGCTTTGGAATTTGGTCATCCTAGAAGGTATGTAGTGGTATCTCATTCTTGTATTCTTAAAAAATATGTTCTATATTTTATTAGCTTTGTAATTTTTTTTTCATTTTCTCCAGTGCTGTTGATCAAAACCAGAGACCCAAGTGTGCTAGGTAAGATATCTATCATTAGGCTATACTCCCAGCCCTCAATATTGTTTTGACTTGCCAATTCCTTTTGACATCTGCTATTAAACATTTTCTTATGTCCACTCAGGTCTTTTGCCCATGTTTTAAATTGGGTTGCTCAGTTTCTCATTGTTGAGTTTTAAGAGTTCTTTGTATATTTTGCACATTGGTCTTGTCAGGAGTGTCTTTTGTAAATACTTTCTCTTAGTCTGTCTTGTATTCCCATTCTCTTGAGGAATATGCTTTTTTAACTTTTATATCTTCAGTATCAGGCGTTGAACCTATGGGCACTTAACCACTGAACTATATCTTCAGCACTTTTTGATATTTTATTTTGAGACAGGATATCACCAAGTTGCTTAGGGCCTCACTGAGTTGCCCAGGCTCACCTTGAACTTGTGATCCTCTTGCCTCAGCCTCCTGAGGCTAACATGCATCCCTGCACATGGTGTGTATGTGCGATCTCTCTCTATTTTATATATATATATATATAAATCAAGGGAAAGTGTAAAAGCCATCCCCCATTACCACAAATTATGGAGTTGAGATTTCCCAGGAAATCCCAGGGGTCAGCATATCTGGTCTAGAATAGATGTTCCTTGCCCTGAGAAAATCAAGATCAAGATCATGGTATTTCCCCTGCCAGATACCTAAGGATATACTTTAAAAAGAGTTGTTGTTTTTTTTTTCTTCAAATCTTTCCTTTATGGGTGACCAATGTGGAGCGTTCCCCTTAACATGTTTAGGAAAAGAATTGTTTAATTGGAGAAATTGAGCACATAATATTTGACAATTTTTTATTCTAATTCAAGAAACTTAAGAATGCCCTATGATTTGTGCTACCAGATATCTAGCTCTGCCTACCCTAAATGGTAAGTGGATATGGCTTTGCAACAAAGATCCCAGTGGAGAGACTTCTGTTTGTCTGACCTTTTGCCTAAAGCCTCTTCGTGCTTTGCTCTTCTGGGCACTATTTCCTGTTCAGGAATATTTTTGTCCAAGGAAACCAAGCCCCCCCCGACTTTTGTATCCCAGAGAGGGCTACCATGACAAACAAACAAGGGGAAAAATAAAACCAAGAAACTGAGATTAAAGACTTTTTTTTTTAAAGATGGTATTGTATTTCAATTTTCTATCCAGCATTTTCAAATCTATTACAAATGTTGGTAACTTCTTTGTGTGTGTGTGTCTGTGATATACCCTTTAGGGAAAAACACTTAAAAGGATTTTTAACTATCCATATTATAGAAAACATTTTCCAAAAAGAAAAAAGAAAGAAAGAAAAGGCTTTACAAATATCTTTAAAATGCTGTTGAATTTGTTTCCTTTTCTTTTTCTCCTTTCCACACTTTCTTAGGTATTTTCTGAATATAGCTGAAAGTAACATCCAATGTTTGAATTCCATGTAATTCTTTGCCTATTCTCTACGTGGTCATGAAAGAAAATGACAAGGATGATAAGGTTTGAATTTTATGACAGTTGTATGTAAAATTTGATTATTATTTTTTTAGTGCATTGAACTCTCAGATAATCTCCCCTTTGTACTTTGATTAATTAGATATAATTTCTGAAGAGTTCAGACAATAATTTTAGATGAAATCAGGCAAGTACTTAGACAAAGTCAGATTATTCCAGTAAACACACACACACACGAACACACACACGCACGCACACAGATACATGCACAAATACCCATATACCAACATATAAAACATCCCTTCCGATTTCTTAGTGCCATAGAAGTGTTTCATCAGTATGCACACAAGCATTTTCTCTTCTCTCTCTTCTCCTTGCCCTTTGAAATGCAAATGAGAACTCCCTGATAAAAAACACTAGAGATATACCACCTTTCTCCACAAACACAACTTTTAAAAAAGAGTTGTCTTTATTTCCATTTTATCTTCTTTATGATAAACATAGCAATCGTTGCTTTCCACAGAGAGACATTGGCAGAGTTAGGCAAGTAGACTTTGTGATTCCCCTAAGAAAAGCAAATAGCTAGGTTCAGAACCCTGATAGTTCTAATAGTTTTAGAAGAGCTGTTCTTGTTAACTACTTTATTTAAGGGCATGTTAGAACTAGTACTTCCAGCTCTTCAACCTGTCAATAGACAATGAGATGTGCTATAAACACCTCCCTGTTCTTAACATCTTTGGTGTGTTTAGGTTGGGTGAAGTCACAGTTATTAGCCTGACAGGCAATGACGTCATTGACTCTTTGGGCTACACTTCTCCAGATTAAACGTGGTTGTGCAGGAAGATAATTTTGGACAACTGGAGCAGATGTTGCTGCATTTGCAGATCTGACTAACATGGGAGCTTTCTCTCTATTGAATTTGGTGTCTTTGAAAAGAATAAATTCTCAGAAATCATTAATAAAATAATGTTAAAAATGCTCCTGCCATATCTGTGATCTCAGATTATAGCAGTTATAGTAATTACTGCTAGTTACATGCAATACTGCTGGGGCCTATTAAGAAGGCTTTTATGGGCATCTTTTTTGCAATCTCTTCACCTATAACTTTGCAAGAGAAAAAAAGGATGCTAATAATACCAGGCCTCAGAATTTGCTATGGCCTTAGTGTTTGTAAGAATGCTTAGAAACTTTGGTCTTTTCCCATTTACCTAGCCCCTCCAGGCCATTGATGCAGGTTTTTGCCACCTCTAGACAGTTTGCACGTTCTCATTAAGCTTCCTTAAAATTTACTCAAAGGACAAACTATTCCTACAGTGGATAGGACAATTAATAAGACTTACAGCTTGCCTTTTGTGCTGGATGCCAATAGGGCAGCGGACAGTTATCTTCTTGGGCTACCTTCAGTCACTTATGTCTAAGGCAATCAGAGGGTTTCTTTATGGAGGTAGCATCTGGCTCTGGTCTTTCTGCCTCCTACTTGAATGCCACCAAGAAACAGGATTATTATTCATTGGGAAGTTGATATATAAGGATCCTGCTCTGGAAACCTAAAAAGTCCCAAAACTGATTCTGGAAACAAGGTAAATTTTCATTATCTCAATTTATTGCATGGCTATTTTTTTTTTTTTTATGCTGTAGGTGGGTGGATATTTTCTTCCCATCTCTCCTTTATTCCTTTGCCAACTGTATTTATTTACATATAGTTCTTCTGTGTCTTGGGAACCTAAATTGGCTTACAGTTTACCACGTGTGACCTCTCTGTCTTCTGCTGGGTGGGCATTAGTGATGATTCAACCTTCTGTGAGACATTTAGGTATCAACACAGAGAGGCCATTGGAGTCTTATGAAAGCAGGACCTGTCATGACCACTATAAAAGCAGGTTTACCACAAAGTTTTATTTACTCTAGAATTAACAGGGTTCTTTTCAGTTAAAAGTTGGACTTTGGAATTAAGGACAGCGCTGGGGTGGGAGCTAGGTTAATTGGAAGGCAAGGAGGAGGAAAGTGTGAATTTTGTTCCTTTCAAGTCAGTGAGTAAGGAGTCTCTTCACTTATAGAGAAGCAAATGGAAGAGCCAGCTGAGAGACTCTCTCATTTGGTCTTGAAATCTTTAAACAAATAAGTTAATTTATTTTCATCTTATAGGTATCTTTAGCAGGTCAGAATTGAGTAATATTATGAATAAGAGGAAAATATTGCTCTTTTTGAATTGTCAAATTTACCCAGATTCTCTCAGGATAAAATTTTTTCATATATGAGAGTTGGTATAGTGGGGTGATTAAACACACAGACTTGGAAGCCAGGCTATGTGGCTTCAAAGGTTGGCTCTTCATTGCAACCTGGGACAAGCTTCTTAACATCCCTGGGGCTCAGAATCCTAATATGTATAATGGGGATAAAAATACCATCGACCTCAGAAGGTTGTTATGTGCATTAAAAGAGCAAATATTTGGAAGACATCTAGATGCTGTCTGCCATGTAGTAAGCAAATAAAAAAAATGCTCAACTCTCTCCCATAACAGGGTAATGTTAACAGCAGAATTAGTAGGAAAAGTAGAAGTGGCAGTGGAAGTAGCTTATACAGCACTATGCCACTGAAGATGACATTGCTTCTGATTTACATCCCACGAGAAGAGTTCAGATGTACATTTTGCAGATGGCCTATAAATTTTTTTTGAGTGATTAAGCACTCTGCTTGATATTTGGTCCACACTGCTATTTTTCATATAGATTCTAATCTACTAAACCTTTTCATTAGATTTGAACAAAATTATAATCACAGCGGTTCCCAGGATCTTTCACTATAGAGTCTTGCTATAGGAAGCACTTAGATAAAGGCATTAAATTATCATTTATTGATAAGAAGCTAAACTTGGAGAATTAATTTTTTATTTATACATTAACCTTTAATAGTCATTTAACTTTTAAAAGAGTCACAGACATAACCATCTTTCGATATCTTCCAGTTAAGATATTCTAAAATCAATCTTTTCCTTTCCAGAAATAAATCTACCACGATCACGTCATTTCCCTGATTAGAGCTATTTAGTGTCTCTCCATCATCCACACGAGATAAAATGCACGTGCCTGATTAGGCGTACAAGGCCTTTTATGTGTGATTCTATCCTTTGTGGCATACTCTTCTATTGTTTCTTCTCTTCCCCATCAATTTAGTTCTAGAAGTATCAAACTTCCAGGGTTTTATACCTGTTATCTTTATACCTGGCAAAAGTTGTTTTGAGTACCTGTAATTTTTTTTCCCACTTCCCTGCTTTCTACTTTCTATCTCTCCTCTGAACCCACGTGCATCATTCTGACTCAGCTTCATATTAAGTTCTGTTTAATCAAATGCCTTGGGATACTGACTCTCCATCCTGTTGTGACTTCAATAAAAATGAACAAAACCTGCATAGTGCCTACTATGTAGGAGGCTCCATTCCAATTGTTTTACATTTACTAATTCACTTAATTAACCTTGTGAGGTAGACATTCCCTCACTTTAAAGGCGATGAAACTGAATCATCAAGTGGTTAAGGAACTGGTCCAAAGTCATACTGTCGATTGGTCACAGAACTAGAATTTGGAGCAATTTGCACCACACTGAAACACCCACATTCTCATGTTTTCATTCATAAAAATCTGTCAGATTTCTATATATCTTCTTTGTTCCCATAAGTGAATTCATGACCTACCAACATCCCCAATATCAGAAATGTTCAATAAATGTTTGTAAGGTGGCTGTTCATTAATTAAAAATATTTGAAAATTAAGTGCGTTGAACCCAAAGAAATTTGAATTCTGAATACTCCATTTCTTCTTTTTACCTTCTATGTTTTCACATTAATAAAACTCACAATGATGACCTTGCCCACTGTTTTCTACTCAATATATGTGAACCTTTGCAATTTAACTGGAGACTGGGCCTGTGTTAGGGAGCTTTTCGTTTCTGTGACAAATATCTGAGAAAAACATTTTAGAGGAGCAAAGATTTACTTTGCTTCACAGTTTCAGAGACTTCATTCCATGACCTGCTGACCCTTTGCTTTAGGCCTGTGGTCAGGCAGAGCATCACAGCAAAAAGGTGTGGCAGAAGAAAGCTGTTTAAGTCATGACAGCTGGCAAGTAGAGAAAGAAAGAGAGAAGGGGGCAGGGACAAGATTTAGTCCCCAGGGGAACACCCCTAGGGACCAAGTTTTTTAGCAAGGTCCCATTACCTCCCTTTCCACCACTTCTCAATA